AAAATTGAAAAGCGTAGTAAGACTGGCTTTAATCTGAGTGAAATCCATTGGTCAAGATCGCTTTTATATCTCTGGATGTATTTAGTTTGGTATATATAATCAAATGCAATGAAATTGAATAATAAAATCTCTATTATTATTTGTAAATTAAAATAGATAATAAAGTATCATAAGGCTGTTAAAATTCAAATTTTATTGATAAATTTTTTAAAATATTTATATAAGTATTTTAAGTATTTTATATAAGTATTTTATAAATTTTTCTAATTTGAAGTTTTCATTTGAGTATTTTCAATAGAAATATATTTTTTTTCTATATATACGCTTTTTACTTAATTAAATGTGATTGATATATTTATATTGAATTTTATAATTAATTATTACAAATTAATTAATTAATAGTATTTAAATATTTTTCAATGAAATTGTTAAAAATAACATATATAAATAATCAATAATCACATAAATAATCAGTAATCACATAAATAATCAGTTTTAAGAAATTTAATTTATAAATTTTTTCCTGGGTTTTCTGATAAAATAGTGATCTGAAACATTTTATGATTAAGCAAAGATTAAACATAATAATGATAATGATAAGGTCTGAAAAGAGATAGAGAAACAAAGGATAAAGCATAATAAAAGACAAATGCAGAATGTATTTTAATATGCAAGATGAAGTAAATATTTCATGAGATGACAAATTTCGTAAGATGAAACGAATAATCTTATTGTATGCAAAAGATAAGTATAAAAAAGATAAGTATGCTACCATAAAGAAAATAATGATAAAATAAAAAAAGGGCAATTATCTGTAAATATTTCACAGATAAGTAAAAGAGCAAATATAAAAAATTCTAACTTACATATTACAACAAATAATAAATAAATTTATGTGATGCTATCTTTTTGCTACTCATATTCTTCTAATCAAAAGTCGAAATATTAAGCAAAATTTTTAAGAAATTCCCCCTGTCGAAAAATTAAATGTGCCACCTCTTTGCAACTCATATTCTCCTAATCAAAAGTCGAAATTTTCAGCAAAACTTTTAAGAAATTCCCTCTA